GGGTAATTTTAATGTCATGTGCAGGGTAGAATCTGCATTTTTCGGGGAATATCCCACGTAATAAAAAAATTCCGTGAAAAATCATACCGTAAGGGGGTCGATGTAAAACGAAAAGAAACATCGGGAAATTTTGGTAATTACAAATATAATATTAAATTAGTGAAAAAGATAAACATATTCTCTGGTCGTGTTCACGTAAAATGTATAATATCAAACGATTTATTCAGCAATATTTTTTATATAAATCCAAGTTAATGAATTAAGATACAAAATTTTCGTAACACCATCAATCATACAATTATAATAAATGAAGATTTTAAATTAAATTTAAATTAAATTAATTACTATTAAAATTAAATTAAAAAAATAAAATTAATTAAAGTTTTCAAGAAAGTTGATATATTTAGAGCATTTTATAAATGGTATGATATAAATATATAATAAAATAATTAAATATCTTTTTAATTTTGGAAGATGGTGACATGTTTTTTGATGATTTATTTTCACCAATCAATTTGCCACATGGGATGAAATTGAATACATGTCACCAAATGAAATTGACAAATGTCAATCAATTAGGTGTGGAATTCAACGATTACCCCCCAATTTCTTTAGTTTTTGTTCGATTTCCGCTTGCAGGTTGGGTTGCGTTTGGTGTTGAGATTCAATTCATCTGGTTTACAATTTGCAATGTATGTTTTAACTTACATTTTACAAACACTTATTTAATATTTTTGTTGTTTGCAATGTGTTCCATAAAGAATTTTTTTGTTGATGTTTTTTAATGATGCTGATTTTTTTTTTTCAGTTTGCTGTTTGCATTTGGCCAAGTTATAGGTAGTTTGTTGTTTCCAATTCTCTAATGAAAATTCTGCTGATTTTTTTCTTGAGTTTGTTATTTGCATTTAGCGAAATCATATTTAGTTTGTTATTAGCAATTCAATAATGCAAATTATAATTTTCAGTTTGCTGTTTGGCTGAAGTTTATTTAATATCTTATAAGCTCCTAAATCCGATAAGATATTTTAGGAACGAACAAGTTGTTAGATCTTATATTGAAAACTATTTTGTAAGGTAATATGGAGCTTGTTTATAAGTTACTTTTAGATTTTATTAGTTGTTTGTGGGTTTAAAAATAGGGGTTTTTGTGCATAAGTCCCCAACCAAACATCTTTATTATTCTAGGTTTAGGGGCTATATCTCTTTCACCAATAAGCCCATCCATTTAATATTTATTATAAATAAAGGAAACATTCATGTATATGCCAATATTACCCTCAACCATTTATACCCAATTCTTAATTGTAACCCCAATTTAATCAATTTTGTCAACAAAAATCCTATTTCGACCACAAAAATTCAATTTTGACTTTTTTTAGAGCATACTTTAATATGCTCCTATTTCATCATTAACTTAATTTAATCTCAATTTGACCCCAAATTTCACAAATTATTCAATTTTGACCCAAAACTTTTTTTTTCAAAAAAAAAAATAATTTTGCCACCGGATTCCGGCGTTGACTTTTATTTTTGTTTTCTTTTTTCTTTTCTTTTCTTCCGGATTTTTTCGCCGGTTTCCGGCGTTGACTTTTTTTAGTGTTCTTTTAGGTTTTTTTTTTTTTTTTTGTTTTTTTTTACGTCCGCCGCTAAACGTTGACCGTAATTGTGCTGTCACTGACAGTAAATTAACTTAATTATACTTTCAATGACAGTTAATTAACGTAATTGTACTGCCGTTGACAATACATTTATGTAATTGTTCTGCCGTTGGCAGTAAATTAACGTAATATTATTATTTTTTATTTTTTGTTATTTTTTATTTTTATGTTTTTTGATTTGTTGACAAGTCAACGTAATTATATTACTGTCTTTGACAGTAAAATAACTGTAAACACAATAATATTACTGTCAACAACATCAATATTTTTTTTTTTTTGGGTTTTTTGTTTTGTTTGAGTTATTCACGGAGTAATGTAATAATATTACTGTCTATTATTGTAATATTACTGTAAACACAATAATATTACTGTGGTTGACGGTAATATTACTGTTGTTATAGTAATATTGTTGTCAACCACATCAATATTATTATTTTGTTTGGAGTTTTTTGTTTGTTTGAGTTATTCATGGAGTAACGTTATAATATTACTGTCTATTATTGTAATATTACTTGTCTATTATTGTAATATTACTGTGGTTGACGGTAATATTACTGTTGTTATAGTAATATTACTGTCACTCACAATAATATGAATTCTTTTGACTTTTTATTATGTTTACATTTGTTAAAAACTCAACATAGTAATATTACTCTATTACACAATAATAATGAGTTTTGTTGTGTTAATATTATTGTGCTAGAGATTAATATAGCAATATTACTGTGTTAAACTGTAGTTTAGTTAATTTTACTGTGTTTAACAGTAATATAGTTAATATGACTGTCAATCACAACAATATTAACACCGGGTCAAAATTGAATAATTTGTGAAATTTGGGGTCAAATTAAGATTAAATTAAGTTAAGGATGAAATTGGAGCATATTAAAGCATGAGGGGCTATTTTAGTCTTTTACAAAAATCTGGACCATGTGTGGACTTATTGGTAAATGAGATTTTTGTCTGAATCTCTTTATGAATAAGTATCCATTGATGGGCTTATTTGTAATCACCCCTTAAAAATATAATTTCTTGATATTTTCATAATGACGTACAAAGTACGAGAACCATTATAATTGTCAAACTTATCTTCCTCTGATACTTTTTAAGTGAACAATTACTATAATGTTTAAAATACTTCACTCCTATTACTCAAAAAAAAAAATAAAACACAAAATACGTCACTGTGAAAAAAAAATTAATATAAAACTATTTATTAAATAATTTTGTTTTATCTTTATATTAGATTTGTATATATTTTAAATTATATTAATTGTTATAGA